TACTCTGGGAACATTTTAGCAGAACGTTCCTATAACGATAGGTTTGTTACAGAAAAACAGAACTGAAAATAAAAAATAGATCATGGGACGCAATCTCTTAATTCGACACAGACGACAATTTTGAACTCTATGCTATTACTAATAGAATCATAAACACAATAAGACTTTTTCCTAAAGTGACCAAAAGGTAGTCAGTATTAACAACTACATCGTTTAACTGGAATGATCGAGCACTAGCCTGGAGGCTTTTGTTAATTTCATAAATGCAGCTGAAATTATGTTTGTGTGGGAAATTGGAAATGTTTTGGAGTTCAGACATTTATATGACGTCCTTTTAATAACAGTTTTATATTGAACAAAGGTTTTATATTGTTGTATTAAGGTATTGTATGTGTCTTAATTAATGTTCTTAAATTAGGCAGTATTGTTTTTAATATTACGATTAAATTAAAGTATTGCTTTAAAGGTACCACATATGAGTTCAAAGACGACGTTAAGTTCGAGACTGCCTCATTGGCCGAGTGATCGCAAGTGCGACTGCCGGTAAGTGGTCTCGGGTTTGATTCCCGGGTCGGGCAAAGTATTACTGGGTTTTTAAAACAATCTCAGTTGTAGCACGGAGTCCGGAATTGTGCCCGGTATATGGCAATAGGCTTACATGGGACTCATAACATAAATTGTGAAAAGTGGCAGTAAGTACCTTAATGTGCACCTCTGCCTACCCCATCGAGGAAAAAAGGCGTGATGTTATATTATGTTATGTGTTATGTAATAGTTAAACCTAAAACTATAAACAACCACTATAAACACAATTTACCAGACTAAATAGTTCCCCACTATAAAGAGGACCAACCATATCAATTAGGGATGAAACAAAGTAACAAGAAACAGCGTGCATAGTTTTATTGCGTCCGACTGTACCGCACACTTCGCAGTGACGAGGTCGTAATTCACTCACTGGAACATAACGAGAGCCGTCTTCGTCCAAGGACCCATGAAATTAATTAAATGAAATGCAAAGGATTATTCTGCATGAGTTGCAGCGTCGACGTCGACGCCACGATTATCTAGACGTCACGTTAAGCTACTAGCGTAGTAACTCTGCTTCTAGAACTACTCTGCTCATACGTGCTTAAGTAACTTTTCTGTTGCTTGCGTGGCTATTGTAGTTGCTTTAAGATACTATGTTTTTATTAGAACTTTCGTGAGACGTACTAAATGAATTATTAATTATTATTAGAGTAGCAACGCGCCAGTCGCCGCGTCGCTTGTCGCTTTCATGAATGTGAGCCTCTAGCATAGCTTGAAACTAGTCGAGTTCCTCGTCAAATAAAAAATAGTTACGGGAATAAGTCGCAAACAAGCTTGATTTTGAATTGGAGTTTCTTGCTCGTTCTTCTCCATAGGAATCTACACATTGGAATGAGCAAATAGCTTCACCTTTAATTTTCTGTTGCTGACGTTCAAAAGTGCCTTCCTGGTCTAATTGAAATAAATGATTTTGACTTTGACAATCATATTTATAAGGCCAAAAGGATTTTTTCTTTACACACAATTTGCAATCGAATTTTTATTTTTATTTTATTGACTTACTAGCTTCTGCTCGCGACTTCGTACGCGCAATCACGATATTTCCCGTTCTCGTTCTTGATATTCGGCAAAAAGAAAAAAAATAATTGGGTAAAAGTATCCTATGTCCGTCTCCTGGTGCTAAGCTACGTCCCCACCAATTTTCATCCAAATCGTTTTAGCCATTCTTGAGTTATAAATAGTGTAACTAACACGACTTTCTTTTATATATATAGATAATCACAACAGTGCACATATTGAGTTTATAACTTTTTCCCACAAAACCGGTTTAGCAGTTTGACTGTGGGTGAATCTATATGCTCTACAGTAAATTCACATCTTCAATACTCAAGAAGGTCTTTAAATATATAAAACTGAAATCACAGCAAGATATGAAAAGAATATAAGTATTCTATCAGCTCGTTCCGTTCCTAGTATGGTAATGTGACTGGAAAACGACGACATTATTTCTACGACAAACTCTTTTTAACTTGTCACGATGGTTGCATTCAGAATGTGGACGCAAAGTGATTTTATATTCTCTGGTCAACGACTCACATGGGGGTGATGACCTTTTGTTATTAATTATATTTCAGATACAGAAAACTATGATTGGATTTGGACACACCGGGGACAAACGCAGCAATGTGAAATTATAGGTAGATAATAGACTCTTCTAGCGTATGAGGTAAAGTAAATTTGAACATTACCTGCCCAATCACTTTAATCTATACTCATAACAACCAGCCCAATTAATTAAAAGGTGTACCCAAACAAGAACATTAAAAACACAATTTGAAACAATAATTCAAATTCAATTATCCAAACTTCCTTAATTAAGAATTAATTAACAAAACGAATATATTATAAAACCCATTATAACTAAACACATCAAATCTGGACCCTCTCATTGAATTTCGTGCTCGAAGCAATAACGTTACCAATTTATTTGGGACACATGAACACAACCGTAATTTGTATTAAAACTTTTGTATCAGACAAATGAAGGTAATTTATGGCGAAAGCAGTTTCCGAACTGTACCGAACAGCTCCGACTAGTTCCGAACTCAGTGATGAAATATAAATGTGGAAAATTGTGAAGTTGTGTTTGTGCGTGGCTCTGTCCCTTCAGCGGATCAAGTTGAAAGGGTTTAAGTGTTCCGGTCGAAAGCATTTTAGCTTTTGGATTATGCTAGCCCCTGTATAATTTTGTTGGTAAATTTCTTTGTATGAGAACATCGTACGTCCAGTTTAAATGTTGTTAGGAACTTGTTTGGAAAACTATTAAACGGTGTACAAATTGTTTCCGTTTTTCTATTAAGCGGTTTATTCATGGATTAACACGAGTTACATACACGGAACTAACACTTTCACGATGTCTTTCATATGACTATTTATGAAACCAATTTCCTTTATACGCAGAAAATAACAATGTAGTACCAAAAGGACACGATCGTTAACCCGAAAAAACCGCTTCCGAGTAATAAACAAGGAACGTTTCGAAGCAGTCCTTAAAACTAAGGCTTAAAAGGTCATAAATCGTGGGTCATCAATTTGCATGCTAATACAGGCTGGGTGTCCGGGACAAGTGAGTGACAGGGCCGAAACTTTACTGCCGCCGCCGGCCCATATAAACGACCCCGTGGGTATTGAGACATTTTTCTTTTTTCGCCAATTATTTTAAATTTAGAACCTTCAAAGATTCATTCCAGCCAGGCCCTTATTAAAAAAGAACTTGAGTGAATAAGTTACGGATCTCGTTTGTGGGCCAATTTATTTTATCTGGTCTTGTCTATGCGCACTTAGAATAAGTGTTGGTCTTAAAGTATTTGAGGCGAGTGATCTCTACTGTTATGTTGATGAGATTTTTAAATGGACTGAATTAAGTGTACTTTAACGTCAGTATTGTTCCACTCTCAGTATACTTGACGCAGAATTTAAAATTGTACTGTGAACTGATGTATAATGAAATGTTATGTTTAACTGTTTTTTGATCAATTTAATCATTATCATTACGAGAGTTTACGATTTTTTTTGTCCTACATGTATTATGTAGATACGTATGTAAATGTTTGACCATCGTTTATTTACAGGTTGGTTTAGATTTAAATTTATTTTATTGCTGTCAACTACTTTTTTATATCTCCCAAAAGCCCAACTAGCAAATAATACGCACGACAAAATAAATAATAACTATCGTGAGACATACTAAATTAAGTAAAAACGCGGGTTACTCACGTGAATATACTGAGAAAAGCTCTACTAGTTTCGAACCACAGAGGGGTTCTTCCTCATGAGCAGCGTGCGCGGTCGCGGCGATGTCGCGCAGCTCACTGGTTTTTTCACTAGTAGAGCTTTTCTCAGTATATTCACGTGAGTAACCCGCGTTTTTACTTAATTGACAAAATAAATATTAAAAAAATGTTATGAACGCGCGACCTAATAAATTATATAAGTACATGAACAATTTAAAACATACATATCGAAAATGTCTGTTAACAATTATTTAGTCAGGTTAATTAGTAAGTACAAAATATAAATGTATTTGTTTACCAAAAAGGTATTTGTTCAGGCATATGGCTAAGTAAATAGACGGGGACATGTAATGAGAAAACTCAGTCGGCTATAACAATATGGTTTGTGTATTGACGAGGTAAACTTAGGCTTTCTACATACACCAAAAAATAATTGATTTGGTCCCGTACACGTATGCAACGTCGACTATCGGTAACAGTTTACAGCTGGACTATAGATTTGTTCTACATAATAGTTTACCATTATTGATACGTGGATTTGAGATTATCATATTATCTAAATGGATAATCCGGTCAAAATTTTGTCAGTAAGTGATTGTCGGATGACCCCATCTCTTAGTCAAAGGAATTCTATGAGATTGTTCCATCTTGCTATCCAAATTCAGGTTAGGTTGCTATCTTGCTATATTTTTTTTCTATGAATCCTACGTAGAGTTTTGAATATGCTAGATACCATAGAATAATTTAGTAAATTAATACAACAAAGTCGAAAAAATTTGGATATTGTATCACACGCCTTCCTAAGCCACCACAACAAAACACAGGCTGATATCGACACCCGCTAAGTATAAGTATGTATCTGCCTGATACACGAATTGGTTTTTATTGCTTTTTTAGCTCCAACGTATCTGTATTTAAACAATAAAAAAATATAAAAAAAATTATAACAACCCAACATGCTTTTTTTTCAGACGCATAAGTATTTATATGAATTAGCTAATAAATAAACACAACGTAAAAACATGTACGTTCCTGTTAAATAGTTTGACGCGGGGGGGAGCGGGACGCGGGGTGCGGGCAACTGCCGCTCTCTCAGTTCTTCGGCGGTAACAGCGAGCGGCACGCGCGGGCGCTGCGTAATATAATTATGTCGAGTGAACGGTATAAATTCTTAATATCGCTAAAGGAAGATGCAATTAAAAGGCGACAGGTTGTGACCATATCACCATCAGACGGGATGGATTCACCACCTAGACAAGGTAAATACTTTTAACCCATTATTTCATTTATTTCTTACTATATATTTTAAGAGCACCTTTAAATTGAATAACTAGGTGTATGGTAAATATTTAAATTTTAATAATATATTGAAAAACTGTTTCCCTCGTGATATTTCGGATTTTATGCATTCCCTGTGCATAAGTGTGTAACTGCGTAGTTACACATTTCTACGCTGGAGTCAATTTTAATTGATAATTGTATCTAGTCACTTACATATTTGTTCTACGGAAAGCGTGTAAAATTAAGTAGGTTAACTAACTTATACATCGTTATACATTGGAATTAAACTAGAATATAAATATTTATCTATACACTTACATAGTTATGCTTATATTAAAACACTATTGTTTATCGTAAAATACAGTTTTTAATTCGATTTTGATTATTTTCAGACTCTCCAGTACACTTTTCAAAATATTTTACGGATGAAAACTTACAAATGATGACCGAAATTATTGAAAACAGTGACGAAGAAAAAAGTGCTCATGATAATGATGATGACGACCCAGTGCTTTCACCACCTGAAGTAAACTCTTACGACCCCATATTAGCACCAGCACCAATAATGCTCCAATCACCTAATATAATGAGCAATATCAGTTCAGGTATTGAAAATGATGTTTCTATTGAGTCACCAAATTTCTCGTCAATTATAGCTAAAGAAATTGCCCAGTTGGAGTCTGGTATATCACCAGTTCCTACCACACCTCTTTCTTTGCCAGTAAATTCACCCATGCCAATAGAGACCCAGTTATCATCACCAAGGCACAGACAGTATGCAAGAAAACAAGATAAAGGTCGATTACGATTAGTCCATAAAGATCAATGGTTGGATGTTATGCGGAAGAAAAATAAAAATTTAGGAAATGCTTACAAAAGTAGGGATGGGAAGTCAAGAAATAAGAGAGAGATGGGGCCGAGTTGTGGAGAGAAATGTAAGTTAAAATGTTCACAAAAAATTACGGATATTGATAGAAACTTGCTTTTTGTAGCGTTTTGGTCTATGGGAGATATAGTTCGCCATTGGGATTACATCAATAAGTACTGTGAAAAAATTAATAAACGTCGTGTTACTACTGAAACTGCATCCAGAAGAGAATTTACTCTGCGATATTATTTACCTACAAAAACACATATGACCGATTCATTGGCTCCAAACATACAGACTTTGAAAATACAAGTTTGCAAAACCATGTTTTTAAACACCTTTGGGATCAAACAAGGTCTGGTATACTCAGCATTAAAGAAGCTTTCATTGGAAGGTACTGTTGCCCATGACAAAAGAGGCATCCATTTACACACCAAGAAAATCACTGAAGAAATTATTGCAAGTGTTTGTGATCATGTGAACAGTTTTGCACCTGTGGAATCACACTATGTTCGTAAACGGAGTGACAAAGTTTACCTAGATGGATCTCTGACATTTGCTAAGATGTTTTTGTTGTATAAGGATTGGAATGATCCCAAAAACCAAAATAAAGCACAAACAGCAAGGCAATATCGTGATATTATCAATAGCCATATTAATTTGGGATTCCATATTCCCAAAAAAGATCAATGCGATGTTTGTCACGTATACAAAAACTTACTACGTCCTGTAAGTGAAGAGCAGTTTCAAATATATAAGACACACATGAGGAACAAAACTATTGCACGAGAGTTTAAAATCAAAGATAAAGAATGTTCTTTAAAATCTAATGACGTCCTAACGGCGGTGTATGATTTTCAAAAAGTACATGGAATGCCCTATGGTGAAACAAGTATCCTTTATTACAAGCGAAAATTAACTGTATTTAATTTCACAGTATACGAAATGGGGAGTAGGGTTGCTAAATGCTATGTTTGGGACGAAAGCACGGCAAATCGAGGAGCTAACGAGGTGAGCAGCTGTTTGTATAATTATATTAAGGAACATCATCAGAAGGGCATAAAAATATTCAACTTTTGGTCTGACAATTGCGGAGGACAAAACCGCAATCGAATCGTTTTTGCTGCTTATTTGCGAGCTGCTAAGGTCTTTCAGGTCACTATCACTCACAAATATTTTGAGAAAGGTCACACTCAAAATGAGGGTGACAGTGTACATGCCCTTATTGAAAGAACTGCCAAGAATAAAATGGTATACACCCCCGATCAATGGTATGCCCTCATAAGATGGGCTAAACAAGATGGACGCCCTTACTTAGTACAGGAAATGACTACATCAGATTTTATTGATTTTAAAGCACTGCTTCCAGGATGCAACTGGACTGTCAACACAAATCGAGAACGAGTTTTCTGGTCTCAATTAAGACAGTTGGAAATACGGCCAGAATCTACTGATAGAATACATTATAAAATAGATTTCTGTGAACATGAGTTCAAGTGCATTATTGTAAATAATGTACTTGAGACTCCCAAAACCAGATCGAGGAACCGCTTAAGGGAAGACACCAGTCAAATTTCAGACCCACTATTACGACCGTTGACTCAAGCATACAAGGGAAAATTGCCAATACCCAAAGCTAAACTTCAGGATTTAAAATATTTATGTCAAAATAATATAATACCTTCTATTTATCATGACTTTTACATGAGTTTGATAGAGGATGATAATGATAACGAACATGACAAAGATGAAGAAGATGAAGAAGAAGAATGAAAATATTGTTTATGTGATAATTATTACGTATAGATCTCAGTATTGTAGTGCTATTATTCAATAAGTAATTAAAACATAAAAACGTTGTTGAACAACTTACCAATGTGATTAATAAGTGCCTGATATTTCTATAAACTTGTTTATTATTGTTAATGTGATCTCAGTACAAATAGGTATATACAAGTAGGTATATTATTGATTTATAAAATAACCATTTTGTGGAACCTATAGGTCTGAAAATAATACTGATGTTTCTTTATAAGATTGTTTAGAATTTATTGAATACTTATTTTTTATAATTATTTTTATTTTTAGCATGCGTCTTAACTCGAGACGTAATTTGACCGGATTTTTATATTTTTAGGATATGCCATATTCTTTAAATAAGTTCCATGTGATTTTTTAAGGTGAATTTTCGAGGGTAATCCGCGAAATTTAAGTGATGCATGGTGTCTAAGTCAAAGATTCTTAGGTGTTTTAGAAACTGGTGCAATTTGTGCACAATCCAAGAAAAAATGATTTCACACTGTCGCGAATTTTTATTTAAATAAAGTTGTAATTGATGGAAACCCTACCTAAGAATATTTGCATTGGCGCCCTGCATTGGGGTATGACCCAAATGTAAGTGCAAACTTTTATTTAGACTTTAAAAAAGTGTCTGACTGATTAATATTTAAGTTTGCTTTCGATTTTGTTGATTGGTACAATTTTTATAAATAAATAATTATGAACGTTCTAAAATTCAAATAAGTATGTTTATTTTTCTCTATCTTGTTTTTTAATTTGATAATAATAAATATAAAACAAAGTATCTTCCGTCTTTTACTTCAAAATAATAAGATTCATAAAAAAATCGGTAATGAGATTTAGTTACATTATCAACAATAGTGTTGTAATCATGGGGATAAAGTAGGTAAGTAACCGTTATACAAAATGCCTCAATTATAATGTCCAGTTAAAAGTAACTATCTGGCGGTTAAAGCATTTACCAGCATAAATATTCCACAGAATAAGTGTGGATGTGGCAGTTAGAGTACTTGGGTACGTTCTAAGACCGGAGTAAAATTACGTATGTGTGATAAAATAAAACCCTAGACCTTTTGGATCAAAATTCACTTGTAAACATAAACTGTACTTAATTTGAAATTCGGTTACCAAATTTTAAACCATAAAACCTTAAAGTGACAAAGATATGACAGTTTAAATTTCTTACAATCTTAAATTCACTCTCCTCTAAAATTGTAATTTTTCAGTTAGTTACTTATACTTAGGACGTGTCGATATTATGTGTTTTCGACTCCGAAAGCAAAAACAAAATTCAGTGTTTATAAATTCATACAATATTAGTTATCGCAACATCTGCAGGGTTGGCAAAAAATGTATGAAGTAATGCATAAAATAGTGGGCGCTACGTACAACCGTCGCTAAGTAATGTTCTCTCACTTCTCGCTAAACGATCGCGCAAAAATGAACAGCCCGTACGTTTCATGTTACTTTTTTTTGTAAAAATGAATAATTTAAACAAATATATCTAGAGATGAATGTTGCGTCTTCGCAGTTCTTTATATAATTTAAAGTCAGACGCGTTTTCCACTTGGTGCATTGTGGTTGCTACAGAAAAAATAAGAATTCGTTCAGTAATAACTTAATTTAAAGAATTTGTAACTTTAATACGATCTTTAGAATTATTCTACCGTTCTTGTACGTGTAAGTTTTAATTCTTCTTTTTCCTAGCCATGTTCCAACAATATTGGGTTCAGCACTGAGTCTTAGCCAGATTCGGTTGATAAGGTATTATTTTACATGGACCGACCATCCGCTGAAGATGACAGGACATACTTAACTACATCCATTGTTAGATTGTGGCTGATAATTAGAACTGTCATAATAGGGGCTAACGTTTTTTTTTTTTGCTCGCCAGATGCCGTAAATTTAGGAATGAGTTTTTATGACCAATCATAGCAGCTGTCAAAATATTGAACGTCCAATGGTTTGAAAGTCCAGCAAAACTTGCTAATTCCCTATTGGATGAAAAGCGAGAAGTTCACACTAGCGCAAACTGGTGAGAAAAAATACGATAGGCCCCATTCCCATGACAAGCATCTCCATCAAAACCATTACTAGCAAAAAGTCACTTAAAAACAAAATCGAGGAAACAAAAAAAAAATAAAAGCAGTACAATAACCCACTCTTGTTATTTACTCCAGTTTGTCAGTATCACGCGTAGCTCTCTTTATATTGTGCACAGCCGTCGTATCTAATAACAGCAAAGTTGCGACTTGATCCGCCATCGCTTTGTTTCAACGAATTTACATTTATATTACTTGGAGTTTTAAGCAATACCTACTAGTAAGTACCACCTATACTTATAGATTGTATAGGTATTGTTCGAGGGAAAACCTAAGTTTGTTTGTTGGAATTTTTATTTGTGCTTTGTGGTCTCTATCTTTCGTTCACTGTCGTGCAATAATGCAGTATGATCAAAAATTGCATTTTAAAATGTTTTTTTTTTTTCAAATATAAAGTTGAAATCTTACATTAATTTATTTATTTATGTACACGCATATAACATAAAATAAAGGACAACACATATATAAAATTAAAGTAGAAAGGTACCACGTATTCCTATTCAAATTTCTTCCTGTGGACCTGGGGCAGTAAAAGTAAAGTAATAATAATATAATGACACAGTGATAATTAATGCTCGTTGTGACTACTTCGTTGGCCGAGTGGTCGCAAGTGCGACTGCCGGGCAAAGGGTCTCGGGCAAATAATCTAGTAGTAGCACGGAGTCTGGAATAGGCGTGTCGACAGGGTAAAAAAATCAAAAAAGTAATTAGTCCGTCATTAAGATCGCACGAAAATATCAGACACGTATTTTTTGTTTTATCAAATTAACAGAAGAATACGTAATTATTCCGCATTAAAGTTAGGGAGTGGGGGGTGTTGACGTCACACTTATGGAGAAATCGTACCTAATTGTGACGTCACGCGTCATTTTAACTCATAATATCTACATGTTTTTTTGGATACGAGAAAAAAGAAAAAATACGTATCGAAGATTTTTAAAATATCTAAAAGACGGACAAAAAATTAAAAAATAGTCGCCATGCCTATTGTGCCCGGTACATGGCAATAGGCTCACCCCCTATTACATGGGACTCATAACATAAATAGTGAAAAGTGGGTGGTACATTGTACAGTGGTATAATGTGCACCTCTGCCTACTCCTTCGGGGATAAAAGGCGTGATGTTATGTTATGTGATAATTATTATTTAAAACTATTAAGCGCTATTACATATTAGGTGTAGATTACTGCAGATGAATTAAAATTCCTGCTAAATAGGGTAAGGTAGTAAGGGTAGGGATGACAATTTATTTTGATGTCCGTCTGGTAGATTAATTATAAACTTTAAACACGTATTTTTTATTTTCTTACGGAAACAAATACCCACTTTCGACGATATATTGATTTTAAATATAGCGTGACGTCAATTTTGTGTACGTTTTATACTCAAAAATTACGTAGCTGTCTCCTAAACTTTAATTGGTTTTATCTAAGTAGGTGTTTTATTCGACAACATACATAAATAAATACGTGTCTAATATTTTTTCAATATCCAACTGACGGACTGATTAAATTTTTAATTTTCATACCTTGTCACCATCCCTATTGTACATGTGTAATAGCTTGTGAAATTAGTTAATATTTTTTTCTTCCTTTCTTTCTAAAAAAAGAATACATACTACGTGACATATGATTATAAACATTTTGTCAAATTTTCAATTTATGAATATCCATCTAAACACTTCAACTACCATAACACTCAAATACAGCCAAAATCCATCAAATTAATTGGCCAAACCTAATCTAGAATGTTCCACTGCGCGCTGCACGACCAAGCTTCAATGCTTAGCACCAAACAGGGGCAGCTACGAAATTGGATACACCCATCCATCTGAATTCCATCCATCAAGCTATTGTTGACTTTTTAGCCAATAACTTGATTATATGCCTTTGAAACTGTACGAACGGTTCACGATTGAGTGGTCCTTTGCGAATTTCTATCGCATAAAGTGCTTTGGAAATTTCGAAAAAAGTTATAAAGTAACTTGTTAAGCGTTTTGTGTCATTTTGGGCTTATGAGCACTTGCAAAGGCTTGAAATGTTTTTTATGTTATTTGTTTTATGAGGGCTCAAATGAGTATAGGTACTTGATTATTTTTTCTATTTTGTTTCTTTTAACTTCGTCTTGTCTAGAAAGCCTTAAATTCCACGGAGTTAATAATATATTATGTTTATATTATTTTTATCTTTCACTTATTCTTGTAACTAAAGGTTTCTAGTTAATACTAGTTTCTAGTTGATCCTTGCAATTAACTGGTATAATAAACTGTACAATTTTAATAAGCTGTAACCACTGCGAAAATTTTGATATGCTCACCTATCAAATTTAAGTCTGTCACTATACGTGAGGACTTGTAATTGGCTTTCAGTAGTTTATGTTGACTTCTATTTTTATGTAGTTTTAGCTGTAAGTCCTCCAGAGTGTAATAAATAAATAAATAAATAAATAAATAAATAAATAAATTATCTGGAAAACGAACATAATTATATTGATCAATAACATAACATAATACTGTAGCAAAATTATGTATTAGTTTATATTTAAAAATTATTCCAAAGTAACCTAATAAGAAATAAAGTTGTTTCACCTAAAAACAGAATCCAGAGATCAAAGCATTGAAAAAGGCTGAACTAGAAAGAAAAGCAAAAATACAAATTAGGTACCTACGTAAAATATTTATGATTCGATGTTATATAAAACCGGCTACAAAGAAACTAAGAGGAATTACCCAATAGTTGTATTTCGAGTTATGTAAAAATACTACTAAAGAAGGAATTTGGAAAAAGTAATTTGTATAAAACCCGTATAACCAGTAACACAAATCAGATTTTCTTCAAAGAGAAAAGGTTTTTTGAGGAATATTATGTATT